CTCCCCATGGCAGTTCGGACCACACCTCTATCCGAACTCAAGACTTCACCTCGCACACCACTCCAGCACTTCACCTCCAGGACGCCGAACTGAATAACCGCACCGTACCTGACACCGAAGGAGTCAGTATCCGGGGGCGGCGCACCTGACTGACTTGAGATCTGACGCTTGACAGCCGCACTTCAACGGCCACCTGCCATCGCCATCTCCAGTTACAGAGACGGCTCCGACAAAGAGAGCAATGGCGGTTCTGGCAGAAGCGCAGAGGTAATCATACCCGACCTGACAGAAGCTTAGGAGTGAGTGCGCGAAGTGGTTATAAAAGGCTCTCTACCCCCCAAGAACGAGGTATGTTAACTTTGCGCCATCTGGTTTTATCTTGCCTTTGAGGAAATACTAACTTGAGCTTCAGAGCATTCTCACCGGGTTCTTCCCTGGAGATTACTCGCTTTCTCCCCCGTTTCAGGCACCTTGTGCTCTAGCCCGAGGCAAGATCGTTGACAGCTAGGACCGGCCAGATTGCGCACCATCACTGACTATTACTGATAAATATTGTTAATTTAATTTAATTTTGGTAATTATTAATTTAATGAATATTGTTAATAAATCATATTCATAAATTTAATAACTATTGTTATATTAAAGATAACTAAATAATATTATTAAAACTATAATTAATGATTATTTAATTAAATAGTATAATTACTTACTATTATTGATAAATGTTGTTAATAACATTTTGACAACCGATAGTTCCACCGTCCGATTCAAACGGATGTCCCATTCTGACAACAAAAATTACAAGCAAAAAATTACGAAACCATTATGGTCACCGATTTTCGGGTCAACGGTTCGAATGGACAGTTTGTTCTGACAACAAAAATTATAGGAAAAAAATTGAGTTTGTGAGGTCCATTAAGTAGTATCATACGTGTTATGTCATTCGAGCGTGTGACTCATACGACCAAAAAACGGAACCGTTTTGACCATCGATTTTTGGATCGACGGTTTAACCGTTCGGTTCGAATGGACAGTTTTATCGTTCGGTTCAAACGGACGACCCATTATGATAATAAAAATTGCAGGCAAAATATTGAGTATGTGAAGTCCATTGAGTAGTATCATACATGTTATGTTATTCGAGTGTGAATCATACAACTCGAAAATGGAATCGTTCTGGCCCCGGTTTTTGGGTTGATGATTCAATCGTTCGGTTCGAACGGATGACCCATTCAGACAAACAAAATAAAAAAATATAAAAAAATCGCCAAAAACCATTGAACGGGTCAATGGGTTGACGGTTCGACCACTCAAGTCAATGGGTCGTTGACCGATTCAACGGTTTTTGGCCAGGGACCGGGATTGAGGTAAAGTGGAACTGGTTGCCTGGATGGTTCCCAATTAAAAAAAAAAACAGATGACCCATTATGATAACAAGAATTATAGGCAAGAAATTGAGTGTGTGAGGTCCATTGAGCAGTACCATACGTGTTATGTCATTCGAGCGTGTGACTCATATAACTTGAAAACAGAATCATTATGGCCATTGGTTTTTAGGTCAACGGTTCGACTGTTCAGTTCGAATGGATGGCCCGTTCTGACAATAAATATATTTAAATGTTACATATATGTGTATATATATAAATGTTACATACATATTTATGTATATATACATACATCAATATTTGTATAGATATTTACATAAATATATTTATATATATATATAATTTTAGAGTAGGTTTATTTATCAATTCGAACCCAACCCGAATGCATCAAATTACAGATGGAGTGGACTCGAGTTGGAAAAATCGGACTTGACCTCGGAAAATTTTAGGACTGGCCTAGATTGCCCGACCCGCCCGACTTGCACCCTAAGCTTAGGGTTGTGCAGTTGCGCTCCGGACCAATAACTTGAAAATGGGAAACTAACGGGTTCGAATCGGCGACTCCGCTACCGCTACGAGGAAACAGTAGATGAAAACGAAATTAAAATAAGCCCTTGCAAAACCATAGCTCACTCGCTTCTCCCCTGCTCTCTCTCCGTCTCTTCCTTCTGAAGCGAGCGGCAAAAAAGTTCCCCTCAAAACCTGAAGGTAGAAGCCCCTTGTTTTCCCGTTAACTTTGTGTTCGTGTTTATTTGTTTAGTTTGAAGTTTCAGCAGAAGCCCCCCTGATTCTCCCTTCGTTCCTTCTTTTGATTCTGGTCGTTTTCGTTGTTAATTTATTATATATATATATATATTTTTTTTTGTAGTTTTAGGTTTTAGGAAGAATGAGTAGCTGGCGGACTCTTTTGCTGAGGATCGGCGATAAATGCCCCGAATACGGCGGAAACTCTGATTTCAAAGAACACATTGTTAGTACATCTCTGCATTTTCTTCATTGTAGTTGTTAACGTTTATTCTCCAGTTGATTTTCAGTTTAGTTCTTTTTTGCTCCTGTAAACCCTAGTTCTTTGGAGTTGAACAATCAAAGTACTCTCTCTCTCTCTCTCTCTAATTCCTTCGGCACTGCAGGAAACATGCTACGGCGTACTGTGGCGCGAGTTGGAGCACTCTGGAGACGATATTTTGGACGTAAGTATACTATTCACCTCTCTTTAGTACTCTAATATTGCACTGACATGCCTTAGAAATTAAGTCATCTGTGTTATGGTGTGAGTTAAAGATGAATGACATGAAATGAGCTCACCAATGAATTGTAATGCAAAGAAATTAACTTATTTCAAGTATATATTAATGCAAAGAAATTAACTTATTTCAAGTATATATTAGCTTTCATTATAGAACAGAAATAATGTCTCCCCAAGATTTCAAGGGACAAACCATTTTACTTATTATTTGTATGTGATTATTGGTTTACACATAGATGTTAAAACATTGTCATAATCTTATGATTTTTGTTTGAATCCTACAATTTGATTCATAAATCTTATGATTTTTGTTTGAATCCTACAATTGGACTCACAAATCTTACAATTTATACGATTCCAACGATTCAAATAAATTCAATTAAGAATTAGTCCTCTACTTTGACATTTTTTGTTTATATTTATGTTAGGATTCATAATTTGGTTTGATTCAACTCTCTCTACAATTTAGATTGCAATTTTTAAAAAATTACTAAAGGCATCATTTAGGCAACAAAGTACCTTTTGTGGGGTACCTCACCTGAACACCATGACTTGTACCAAAAAGGTGCCCACCTAGGTGGCAAAATAACAAGGTGGGTGCATCATTGTAATATCATTGATATGGTTGCATTTGATTAGTGTTTGTTCTAATATTTCCTAACTTCCTATGGTATATCCTATATATTACTTATACTTTGGTTTAGGGTTTTACAAATACAACATGATAAGATCTGAGGGTATTGCTACGAGAGAAAGCATATTACTTATACTTTGTTTTAGAAGAGTTTTTTTTTTTCCTCCAATTACCCTGTCTCTCTCTCATGGACACACACATACATAAGTTAAGCAAAAGAGGGGCTTCACTCTCTGTTCTTTTCTTCCTTTCTGTTACTGTCATAAACCTTTTGGTTGCTAACAATATTTTTACTTGCAAGTCTTCTATTAAATACTAATTACATTATGATATTATATTTTGAAGATAATAGATTTAAAATTCTATATTCTATTTTAGATAATGATGATTACCATGTAGTGAGATGAAATTCAATTTTGTCCCTCCGCAGACCCTGCATTGGCGGGAGCCTCGTCAAATGGTCTCCCTTTAGTTTTCTCTTTGTCAAACTCTTTTGTCTTGGTACTTAATAAATATTTGTTAAATTCATTAAGTAAATAAGTACCTAGGCACTAAATAAGTTATAATATTGTTTTTTTTTTCTCTGTCAAACTCGTTGCCTACATACTTAACCAAGAAAAAAGAAAAAAAATTCCATTGTATATGTGCTCACCTAGGTGATTGGGCAGTCTATTATTGCCTAGATGCCTTGACAACTGTGGATTGACAAACTTGGTTGTTCAGTTGTAATGAAAAAAATATCACCTCTTGTGATTTCCAAGTACCTTTTAAGTAGATTGTAAATGTAAACAAATAACAGTTGAAGAGCTTGTAGAACTTGATTCCATTTAGTATTATTATATACTAACTGTTGCCAGTAGTTTTTATTCATTGAACCAAAAGTCATAAATCATAATGCATTATACTAGATCCTGTTCCATTGGAACTTGTACATTATGAAGCAACTTATTTTGTTCATTGCATTCTGCAGTTTCTTCTCCAGTGTGCTGAACAATTGCCTCATAAGATTCCTCTGTATGGGACACTGGTAAAGTAAATCTATACCCTTTATCCTTTTCCTTTTTGGCCCTTTGAACATGTATACATATATTGTCAGTGCTGGTTTCATGACTGTTTGTCTTGAGAAACTCCGTACTGATCCTTTAAGGATGAATAGGGGGTGTGTTTAGAGATGTGGAAGGAAAAATCCTAGCTCTGTATTCTGGCCCAATAGGTGTGGGGGACTCGCATAGAGCTGAAGTTTTGGCGCTCCTCCAGGGGCTCAGATGGGCCAAGCAATTGGTTACTAACAGTTGGAAGTGGAGGGGGATTCAAAATTAGTAGGATGGCTGCAATCAAACAGTTTGGGAACGTGGTCCCTTAGACAACAGGTAAGGGAATTATTAAGCCTCACAAGGGAGCTGGATGCAAAAGTGTATTGGTCTAGGAGGTCAGCAAATGCTTTATCTGACTACCTAGCAAAGCAGGGGGTGAATCGGGAGTTTTTGTTTTGTGCAGTGTTGTAAGATTTTTGTTGTTCAGGGGTCACCTTTTACTTTGGAAGGTGATAGTTGTTTCTTTTGGTTTTATCTAATGAAAGTTACCGTTTTTTATAAAAAAAAAGTGTATGGGCTTGATTGAACAGTTATTGTAATAGGTGGTCCTTTACATTTTTCTGCTGCTAGTCCATCAATGTGGAATTTTCTCCATTGATTTGAGATATATTAGGGTTATGACAGTTGTTATAGATGTAAATTTATAGAATATATTGCATGCTTAAACATTAATGCTTATTTAATCAGTTATTTTATGCATTCGTATAGATGCAAGAATTTTACTTGGCTGTTGTCTGATTATTACTAAGTTACCTTTTGAAGTTGATCAGCAACTATTAGAAGTTGGTTGAATGGATGATAATGCAATCTATCTCATCCTTGCAGGTTGGTTTGTTGAATCTGGAAAATGAGGACTTTGCTAAAAGAGTAGTGGAGACTACTCATACTAATTTGCAGGTATAGAACTGTGAATGTACTAGTTCTTTCTTTTAACTTGTAAAGTTATCATACCGAAGCTTGGTAATTTGTGTTCCTGAGTTTTATGTTTGTTGAATTATGTTTAATTACTAAAATTCAGTTTGAAGCCTTGAACATTAATTTGAAGCTTATTGCTTCTTTTGAAGCATCATACTTTATCAGTCCCAAAGAAATTCACTTAATCATGTGGTTTAAATGCTTTTTGGTGTTAGGCCACCATTTGAAAGAGGTTTCCTTTCTGTTGAACTTATGGTTGCATGTATATTTTAAAATTTCAGGATGCATTAGATTCTGGAAATTGTGATAGGATTCGTATTTTGATGCGGTTCCTGACAGTACTGGTATGTATGAGCTCTGCCTTTACAGCTTGGTTTTTTCGGTACTGGCAAATTCATAAAGGAATTTTACTAGCTATTGGATCACATTGTAATTTACAAATGGATACATTCATTGTTTAATCAATAACTGAATTTCATTAAATTAAGAAAAATGATAAAGGTGCACAAGCAAGGGAGAGATGAATTCTCTTAGCTCTCCCTTAAGCAATACAAATTACATCAAAGCCCAAAACAGTTGATTCCTTCCCATCCCTTGTTTAGCCAATGTGTCAGCAAAGTGAGTGGCCTCTCTTTTAACCCACTGAAAAGAGACCTCTATATCTTGTAACAACCACCTGATTCTCCTTCTCTCATGGATGTAATTCCACCAGGACCACCACCCATCATCCTCTTCCTTTTGCTTCCAATTAATATCTAATTTTGAATCCCCTTTCAATTACCAACTTGCATATTTGCATCTCCTTTGCTTTTTTCATCATTCTTGAGAACTCCTCCGATGCCTGAAGGACCCAGATTACCTTCAATGCTGCCATCAAAGTTCAGTTTTACAGATCCTATCTCAGTAGGGGACCACATAGGCCTGATAACCTCCTTAATAGGAGCCGAGTCATTACTTCTTTCCACTTTCTTACCACATCACCCACTGAAATGTCCTCCAAGAGTTTCAAAGTCTTTACCCAATGACCCTATTCTAATAGATATGAGTCATATGACTTCAAATAAGGCTTCCCTGCTTCTTTCTTTATTTGAGAAGATTCTTTGATTTCTTTCTTTCCAAATTGTCCAGCATACAGCTGCCTTGGTACACCTCTACAGAGTCCTACGGTCCTACCCGTCTTCTTAGGCCAGCTAAAGAAGGTAGAGGTAAATAGGCCTTGTATACTAGGTGGGGGATTCCACCTGCACCCACACAATGAAGTAAACCATTCCCAAATTGAAGAGGAAAGGCAGGGGATTAATAAGTGATAGCAAGATTCACCATTGGCTTACAGAGGTGACACTAGTTGGGGGAAAGGTACCAATTAGGTCTTTTTCTTTGTACAATATCATGGGTGCTGGTTCTTTCTAGAAAAATCTCCTAGTAAAACCCCCAATCCTAGGTGGAATGGGTGAACTCCAAATCTCTTTTATAGGGAAAGGCAAACCAACACTTTCTCTGACTGTATTAGAGACAAGAAGGAGGTACATGTAAGGAGGCTAGAGGAGGAGAGGGTCCAGATTTGACTATCCTTTTGGATGGATCAAGAACCACCCTATCAGTGAATCTTTTCAGATTCACTGAGGCCTCTTCTAAAACCCAAATCTCAATCAAAAACCGGTCTTGAGTTAGAGAAAACCACAAAAGAAGTAATGGCTCCATATGGCTGGAGATGGCATGCCCCAAAGGCAACCCCAGATAATTCATTGACCATTGTTGAAACTACACAACTCAAAATTTCTGCTCCCTCTAGTATTTCCTCCTCCTTATTCAGCCTACAAAACAACTTTTGTCAAAATTAGGGTTGCTTGGTTTGTTAACCGAACCATGGGCCTATTTTTGAAACTAGATTAGTATTACCAGTTTCTGGAAAACCAGTAACCGAAACTGAACCGAAGATGATAAGTTAATCGATTGACCGGTTTGGTTCGGTTTTTATATTTATAGTACATATTATAAAAATATATAAATATATAATAAAAACTAGAAATATATATAAAATATTATATTTTAAATAATAAATAATAAATAATATATTATATATTTATTAATTTATAACATAAATATAAAGTATATATAAAAAATATATTTAATATACATATACATATAATATATAGAAATATATGTATACCAGTCAGTTGGTTAACCTCTGGTTTTCTATATTAGTTAACCAAAACCGAATGACCTGGTTGGTTAACTGGAATTTTATGTCCGGCTTTCGGTTTTTTTTGCTCACCCCTAGTCAAAATTGATTTCGAAATTAGAGATGTGCTCAAAAGTTTGCACCACCAACTTTAGATTTCTCACCCAGTTAAGGTTACCTCCTTCACAAAAAAGAATTGTGTCATCAACAAATTGTAGATGGAAAATTGGCACTTCATGTTTGCTCACTCTCCAATCCCTAATCAAATTCCTAGAGTCTGCTCTTGAAATTAATCTTCCGAGAACATCTGTGATTAAAGGGAAGAGAAAAGGGGAAGGGGGTCCCTTTGTCTAATGCCTCTCAATGTTGGAAGGTGGTCCACTTAGTTCCATTCACCAAATTGAATAATGGCATGCCCTAACACACCCCATAATCCATTTTCACCATCCATCTCCAAACCCAAAATTCTTCATGTCCTCCAGTAAGAAACCCCAATCAACCAAGTCATATGCTTTTACCAGATCCAGCTTGCCAACAAAACCCTTACAAACCATTTCATCTCTTCAAACACTCTCATTTGCAAAAAATTTGGTCAATGATTTGTCTATCCTGAACAAAGACACCTTTGTTTGTGAAATTATAGAAGGAATGATAGTCCTAATTCTTTTGGAAAGCACCTTCGCAATGACTTTATAAGACTCTTGATTAAACTGATTGGCTGAAACTCACTAAGGTGCAAAGCATCCTCTTTTTTTGGAATTAAAGCAATGAAGGTAGAATTAATCCTTAGATTAACCACCCCCTCTCAAAAAATTCCAGAAACACCTTTTGGATATCGTTTTTCAAAATCTCCCAATAGTCTTGGTAAATGGCCATTGTGAAGCCATCATGGCCAGGAAACCTTAGATCTATCCATTGAGAAGATATCATCTTTTATACTTATCAAAAAAGATAACTTCTTTTATTTCTTCTAATAACCCTAGTAAGGGTCTGTAAACTTTTGGTTGTGAAGGGTAACGGTGTGACTATATTGATGATGGATTTGGGTGCTTAACATCTTCCTGTTAAGCCAATAATTATGGAGTGTGATTTAGGTTTCCCTTGGAATTGGAGAAGAGAAGTGAAGATTGAAGCCAAGAGTTTTTGCTTCGAAAAAGGTAGATACGAGGGTAAGGAAACTGTTAAAGATCAGAGATGGAAAAAGGAGCCATCATTTTCATGTTTGAGGAAGTGATTGTATGGCTGAAGGGTTTTTATGGATGGGACGATTCTCTCTGTTAAAAAATTGAGCTGGAAGAGTGAAGTAACTGCAGCTGGGAAGAGCTTTGAAGCTGAGATGAGAAGACACACGTTACCACTTCATCCTCTCCTTTCCCAGTTAAGGAAGTTTGGTGCTTTCCCATTCCCCCAAAAATCAGTGCTTTCTGTTGGGAAGTGTTTCATGGCTGTATTAATACTTGTGACTTGCTTTAAAGAAAAAGACCAACTTGGTGCTTATCTCCCAGCTGGTGCGTTCTGTGCAAGTTAAGTGGTGAGACTGCCTTTCATCTCCTAATCTCTTGCCCTCTTGTTAGCTTTATTTGGAATTGGTTTTCTTCCCTCTTTAGATGCATTTGGTCTCCTCCTGATAGGTTGGAAGGATTGTTTAGCCCTTCTGTTTTTAGCTTGTACTAAAAGGAGTTGCTGGATCTTGGGTAGATGTACGAGAGTAGCGGTATTATGGACAGTTTGGGAGGAAAGAAATTCAAGAATGTTTGAAGAAAGAGAAAGGAGCAAGGAAGCCTTGGTAGAAATCATAACCTTAAGAGTGGCACAATGGGCAAAAAGTTTGAAACTGTTTTTAGACTTTAAGGTTGAAGACTTCTTCAAGGCCTGGGCTGTTATTGTTGCTTCATCTTCTAGAAGACAAAAACCTGCTGAGATGTGGTCACCCCCATTATGTGGCTGGAAGAAACTGAATTTTGATGGGAGTTGTTTGGGTAACTTGGGCCCCTCAGGCATAGGGGGTAATTAGGGATGAGGAAGGGAACATTATAGCCTTAATACTGCAGCTGCTGAACAGGGCGATGTGGCAAGACCGCAAGAGCAGAACTGTTGGCTGCAGTATATGGGGTCAAGAACGCAAAGGAGTTGGGCATTGATAGTTTAGTCGTTGAGGGTGATTTGAGAACTGTTGTGAAATGGCTGCAGAAAGGGGAGGGGTGACATGGCACCTGAGGAATATTTCAGATGATTTAAATGGTGTTATCAAAGGACATGGCAATCAGAGTTAAGTGGGTGAGAAGAACTGCCAACAGCTTGGCAGATGGTCTAGCTAAGAAAGGGGTACGAAGAACTCAATTGTATTGGGCTCACTTGTAATATCTGGGTTGAGTCGGCTTACCTGTGTTTTTCATTTTTCACAACCTCTTGTTGTATTCATGCCTGTTTTCTATTAATGAAATCAATTCTGTGTTGCTGATAAAAAAAGATGAGAGGAAATGCGAAGGGCTGGTTTGTGGTGATTATAGAAAGCTGTGGTGATAATAGAAAACACATGCTGTGTGTGCCAGAGGGTAGAGAGAGAGAGTAGGATGGAGAATGTTTGCAGAGGCCCTTCAGGACTCTCTGTTGAATATAAATAGAAGGCAAAGCTCAAATTTTTGTGGTGGTGCAGAAATCTGTGATAACCAGAGCTACAGAGATAAATCGAAGGAAGAAGAACAAAAATTTAAAGGAGGATGGGAGAGAAATTTGATTCTGACTTCATCCAAAAGAGTCTCAAACTGGGAAAGTATCGCGGGGGCGGTTGTGAAGAGATTCAATATAAAAGGTACTGTAAACTTTAGACCTTTTGATGACTCAAAGGGCGTGCTATTTGGAGCTAGCAAAGAAGTTGTGATTCCAAGTGCTGAGATGATGGAATCTCCAGTTGGAAGGGTAAGGGTAGAGAGCTGGTTTGTGTCTTGTAATCGGAATCATATCTTAGGACGTCTTCTCGAGCTTCAGTTTGTAGGGCTCCCTTCCCTTTCAATTATTGGTATGAGGAAATTCTGGAAAAGTTGATCCAAGCCATGGGTGGAATGTTGACAACTTTCAATATCCAAGATCTTCATGCCGCAAAAGTAAGAGTCGAGGGTTTGAAACCCGAAGAAGTCCCTAGATGCTTAGAGCTGTTCACTG